AGGAAATTTTTCCGACTGGCCCTAGCAGTAACGAACAGGGAGATTCAGACTGATTAAGACAAAGAAGGTAGATGTTTAATGGTCTTGGCAGTTTCTTACAAAATACGCTCTCTCTGTAAAAAAAAAAAAAAAAATTAAGACATGAACACTTCAGTCATCCTTTAAGATACACAAACCTCAGGGCCCAGCAGTGGTCAGGATGGAAGAAAGGACCCGCAGCACATACGCACCACCAGTGCAAAGAAAGAAAGAGCTAACACAGAGCATCTAGAAAACAGCAGAGCCTGCTGAAGCAAAGCCCAAGCGGGCTACACGGTCTCGGACCACAGGGCTCCCCACTGAACACGAGGCCAATGACAACGGGCGACTCAAATTCCCAAACCACACGATTTCCAACAGCGTATGTGCCATTTGTAACAAAGCAACAGGGGAGTAGGATTTGACGATGAACTTACCCTGAAGTAAGTGAAGTCACAGCTGTTGAATAAATGTCACTCAAAAGCAGTCTCTTGGCTTTTTCTTACACAGCGGGCAACTTTCCTTTTGAATTCTCCATTTCGGTCTTCCCTCCATTCTTTCTATAGACACAAAGTAGCATTTAGTGACTTAACGCCAGCAAGTTCTTCTTATCTCAAATGCGAGTTTTCATCTTGAATGCAACACTTTGGCAACGTGTACACCTTTAAGATGTTAAAAAGCTGATAAGGCAGAAGAATCGTCAGAAACCACTCGCGCCAGGCACCCCCTCCGTCATCGGAACCCGCCAGTCACCTCACAGGCAGGTCTCCTGGAGGAAGGAGACATCCCGGAGGACAGGACCGGTTTGTCCACTGGGACAGGCAGCTGCGACCTACAGGCAAGCTACTCGGGCGCGGGAAGCACTGGGAAGGCTGCCTGCCGCCCCCGGAAGGTTCCGCCCCAGGTAGAGGAGCGGGGCGCTGCACGCTAGGGGGGGGAGGGGGGTGACCATGAGACACAAGTGGCACCAGCAGGGTCTCACGTGAAAATTGAGCTGCTTTTATCTAGCATGTAAATAGCAGAAAATTCTCACCAAAATGCCCAGCCTTTAGTCACGGCAAAGACGAGAAATCTTCAACCCTTGCCCTCCTCACAGAGGAGAGCTGAAATTTCTGCCCTCCTCAGGAAGCCAGTTATTAGAATAACTTAGGTGACAAACCACACACAGACGTGTAGAGACCCGGATGTGTCTGAAGTTCTTGTGGATAAAATGTCACAAAACCTATAAACGCTTCGGCATCAAGTTTTAAGTAAAAGATAGAAAAGAGCAATTCCAGGCAAGAGGAAGTTCAGGCTCAAGGCACAAGAATCTCCTCCAAAGAGCAGGGAGCTGAGAGAACGGAGGCTGGGGGTAGGGGGCCTGGGTGAGGAGGTCCCAGGTGGAAAGGCCCGGAGACACTACGGTGACACACAACTGCCTGAGGGTGGCTTCCCGCCAGAGGACGGGCTGGTGCGTGACGGGCCCCAAGCCACTGCGGAAGCTACCCCAGCCACGCTGAGGACGAGCACACAGGTCACCTGTGTCCTCTCTGCATTCTACTCACGGAGAGCCTGTGCATCCACCAGAGCAGGGGGCACAGTGCCCATGCCTTTCCTCTCCTGACACCCTCCTGAAACGATCAGACTGGAATCTGTGTGAGGCACAGACTCGCCAGGTCAAAGAAATGGCAAGAGAGTCATCCACATGGGTGGGAACTTTTTCTGGAAGACCAGAAGTACACGGCAGAGTAAGAAACGTGCCGCAGAGAGAAAGCACAGCCCCGAGAAGTCTCCCTGCAACCAGAGCAGAGAGAGGAGGGGCAGGGCCGACTGAACAGAGGGCACAGGTTAGACACGTCCGGCCCGAGAAGAGTCGTTAAGACGCGGGATGAAAACAGAGATGTGGCATCTTCCTCCCACTATACCCAAAATGCTAATACTCTCCTGAAATACGGCCAACTGCGATACCTACACTTTACGTGCTAGAATCAGGGCCCCTCGCGTGGGTACCAGGACTGAAAGTAACGGCCTCTTCACGTTCGAGGTCGGGGTCAGGCCGGTGCCCGCAGACCCGCACGCTGTCGCTCCCACCAGAGCCCGGGCTCCCAGATGCAGGAGAAACACAAGAGAAAACATGGGCCTCCGAGAAAGAGACTTCAGAATTTAACTTTACACACACTTCTAATCAGAACTCGCCCAAGACCGAACAACTATTAGTTCATTAAACAGCGACACCGCCACAGTGAGGAAGGAGGCGGCAGAGGTCGCCATCCACAGGGAAGGACCGACGTAGGCGGCAGCCGCAAGCCCAAACAGAGGAGTGTACTTTGTGGCTCGGCTGCACTCAAATGAAGAATTAATTAAAAAACGGAAGGAGTGCGATACGCAGGGAAGTTCTCAACGTGGTGAAAATGGGAAACTTCCCAGAAGTGACATCCTACAAGCGCAAATCGACCACGGGAGCCCCTCCGCCACAGGCGACCGCGTCCGTCGCGGAGCAGATGGCCCCCCCTCTGTCGTGACATCACAGGGTCAAGAGGAGAAGCCTCCGACCGCGTCACACCCCTCCCATCCTCACGAGGAGGGCAGGTACGGGCCACTGAGACACGGGAGAGCCCAGTCACGTGACTTTTTATAACTGCCCTACTTTATCATCAGCAGCCGCTGTAGGTCTCTCACTGAGCCTAATTCATAAATCAAACTGTATCGTGTGTGTATGTATATAGGACAAAAAAATAATGTATATAAGGGTTCAGTACTTATCCCTGGTTTCAGGCATCCGCCGGGGGTCTTGGAACGTACCTCTCACCGACAAGGGGGACAACTGTACAGAAACAGAAAATCTTACACCTTACACAACAATGTGATATTTTAAACACCAAGAATCAGAAAAAAACCTAAAGGAACAGGGAGAAAAAGAAAGGAAAGGTCACCCGCAAGTGGTGAAGAGTCAGCCTCGCATCAACTCCCTCGTCAGCAACAATAAATGATAAAAGACAAATCCTGTAGAAGTCTGAACTTGTCCCCCAGAACTCCACAAACTGTCACTTACGAATAAGGCCCAGACGAAAACACTCGCAGGCAGGTAAGGACCAGATGTTAATTCTCACAAAGCCTTTCTGAAACATGAGTCTCAGATGAAGCACCACAGGAAGGAGTCAAGCAAGAAAAAAGGAACAGGATGCAGAAACAGATGATCCTTCCCAGAAGAGCAGGCAGGCTGCGTGCAGCGGTCTGAGCCCACCCCTAATCCAGGAGCCAAAGGTGGAGGGTCCAGGAGAGGGGTCTCCAAGAAAAGTGTGGTTTTCCTGGAACAGGTACCATCAAGTGAGAGGTCAGAGAAGCAAACTAACAAAAAACATGAAAATGGCAAAGCAAATACGAAAGTTTGCCTGAACATGTGGACGAGAAAGTTCTGGTTTAGATACAAGATGACCAACTGCTTAAATCATAAAAAGAAGCCGTGGGTTTCAAGACGTTAACGGGACAGATGGCACACGACCTGTGGGGCTCAGATCAGAGGTCACACTGGCGTACGGAGCCCTGGGGGGAAGGCCTGCTTCCACCCTGACAGTCACACTGGCTTCGAGGCGATGACTCTCCTTCCTCAGTAGGTCCCCCAGTTTCAGGACGCAGCTGCTTTGAAGGGTTACTAACGTTTGCATATTCGTACTTTCAGGTATTTGCTCTTAATTATCAATTTTATCTTTATGAAGATTAAAATAAAATTTGTCAGTTCTCATTTTATTCAAAAGAGTTACAGCTGAGCATGAATCAATTCCCTCTCAAAATGATTCCACGGGATTTTTTAAAAACACAGCTCTCCCTTCTCCCTCACCATCTCCTGCACCGCTCAGACTGAAACTTGGCTACAGAAAAGGCTGAGACGGGGGTACACGAGTGGCTCAGTCAGTTAGCATCAGACTCTTGATTTTGGCTCAGGTCATGATCTCACGGTTTGTGAGTTTGAGCCCCGTGTCGCACTCTGCACTGAATGTGGAACCTGCTTGGGATTCTCTCTGCCCCTCCCCTGCTCACACGGTCTCTTCAAATATAAACTTAAAAAAAAAAAAAAAAAGGCCAGGACAGTTTTCTGCCAGTTTTTACTTCAATTTGGTTACTAAATTCAAAAAGTCAAAGCCATACATTTGAAAGGGCTTATGGACGTGGTGTCTCCCTGCATATGCTACTACCTTGCCCAAGTTTTTCTATAGGTTTGAAGTAACCCAAGAAAAAAGGTGAATTTAATCTCCTGGCTTCAATACATACTAACAACAGTTCCAAGAACAAAAATTAGAACCAAAGGCTTTCCCAAGGACAGCAGAAGGCTGAGGAACTAGACTATTCCAGGAGACTAATAAAAACATGAACACAAAATAAAATGTGGTCTCCCAGATTTAAAAAAAAAAAAAAAGAAAAAAGAGCAGGTATAAAGAACCATGTTAGGAACCATGCGTATGAGCTGCGTACGCATCCAACAGTCCTTATCGATGAAGACACCTGTGCTGTGCTTGTGAGAAAGCACCCTGAATTCTCAGGGGACGCCACTGAAGGGCCTATGCGTGGAGAGTTAGGGCATCTGTAAAGTGTCCCAAACAGTTCAGGAAAAAAAAATGCTGTAAAATCTCCACAACTGGTGAATCCAGGCAAAGAGTGTTTACTTAACTAATGCAACTTTTGTAGATCTGAAAAATTTAAAAATAAAAGCCCAGGAATAATAACATAGACTTTAGTAGGGACTTGATATTAAATTTTCTTAAGTATGACAGTAATATTATAGCCAAGTAAGACAGTATCCTTATTCTTAAGAGATGCAGGTTCAAGTACGTAAGAGGTCAAACTTAGCTGTATCTGTAACTTAGTTTTGTACAGATTCAGGAGAAAAATAAATGTACGTGAACAGAGTGTAGAGACACACACACACACACACACACACACACACAGGCGGCGGTTGTGATCGAGTTTAATGAACAGGGAGGGAGGCGTGTGCGTGACCACCTTACCGCAGCATCCACGTTAGCAGGGGAGTCTCCGTTCGGGTCTGCCAGCATGGAAATGACACTAATCATGATGGTTTCCACAGTGTGAATAGGGAGCCAGCGTTCCTCTGGCTTTTCGTACCCGTATTTGTCCTCGCCGGGCTCATGAAGAATGGAGATGCATACATCACCATTTTTATCAACTGCAAAATTAGACAGTAAGAATCCTGTTTAAGGTATTTAAAACAACGTGGTTACACATAAAGACCGATTATAGGAGTGACCCGGACCCCCACAGTCCGCTATAAACGCTGAACACATACAGACGATTTCCAAAATGGAACCCGCTAACTTGTTAGGAAGACCACAGATTTTTACCAAATAGGATCCATTTGACAAAACAACAGAAACAGAAGCAAAACGTCAAGATACCTGGCACATAGGTGGTGTCCAGCATTTATATGCAGTAAATACCATCAATCTGTTCTTTTTTTGTATAAAGTATACGACTGAAATACCAGAACCGAGTCTGTATAATTTCCTAGTTTCCCCACTAACTTCCTGATTGAAATTGGTGACAGTCAAACATCCAGAGACATTCCTACGAACCTCATAGTATACTTTTTAAATCACATAAAGGCAAAATCCCATCGTCAAGGAAAGGAGTGAACTCGGATTCGCAAAAGAACATGTCCTATCACCAGTGAAAATTCATCGATATAAAATGACAGTCATGATGCCATCTTTTCTATGAAACTGAGATTTAAAATGCAAGCCACAGAGTAATTCCCGACCAACACAAAGGTGAAGTTCTAACCCACCAGCTCACTCAGATCACACAAACACTCATTAGTAAACCTACCAAAATCATCACTCATGTTTTACAGAGTAATTTTCTCCACTGAAAAATAATAAAATAAAATAAAATAAAATAAAGTATACTTACTGGGGAAATGCTGGAAATCACAGAAAAGTATAAGAATTCTTGGCATAACAAGTTTTTCAACCAAATTTCCAAATCCCGTAAGTAACCAATGGCAACATGTAGATCTCTTTCATTCCTAACTTCCTGCCTAAAGTCTAAGAAACGTGTGATGGGTATGATTTTAAAGCTTACGTTCCACCTCCTACCTTGGGAAGCACTTCCCATGTTGTTACAAACTCGGGGCCCTCACACTGCCACACTCGGACAAACGTGTCTGGAATGCGGCCGTGACCATGGGTGTGTGCCGGGCCAGGCCGGGGCTTTCACACCTTGTCTGGGGGCTTTTCTACAGTCAGGGCTCCCCAAATAAGAATTTTTTTCCAAGTCACTGTCTTCGAACACAGAGTATTAAATGCCTCTATAAAACTCTATCAGTGACAATCAATTTAATCATCTTCCTTCTTTTGAAGATTACCGTTACGATCTAGCACCTTTACATTTTTAAACTTGGGTCACTTCATTTTAACAATAGTCTAATTTTTTTTTTCTTAATGAAAAGATTTTAGGCTTCATACCTATTACCAAATTACATCTTAAAATGTGAAATACAGGAGAAATATAGCTCGGTTTTTCTAGATGATCCTGGGGGTGAAGTTTTTCCACGTGCAGAAAATACACGTCTCCTCCAGTGCAATGACCCCTCTGACCCTTTACCCACCTAGTTTCTTCGGCCAAACTGCTGCATTCTCCCCACGCCAAGCTGTGCCGCTACTTTGCCCTCTTCCTTCAAGACCCAATGACGACCTCACCTCGTCGCTCTCACTGGCAGAGGCTTCGTTTACAAGCCCCAGCCACTCGAAACTTTTCGTCCATTTGGAGTTTTGGTCCGCCTTTTTCTAAATCAACTCTCCACACAAAGCCACTACTTGAGCCCCAGCCACGTGCACCCTCCCAGCCACCCCGTCCCTTAAAGCCGTGTGTCTGGAATGAGCAAACCTGCTTGACCCTAGCCCTCCCCACCTCCCTCCCCCCCCCCGCCTTTCTCTCCCTCTCCCTCTCTCTCTCTCTGTCTCATCCCCTCACCAGAGAGGCAGGCTTCTGCCCCTTATCAGGATGCCATGGCTGCTCACCAGGTGACCAGAACGACATTCTCCTGGATGCTTTCAAAGTCACCCATGCTGGGCCACGACTACGGACACGTTCTCCCCACTTCGGCCTCCGTGACACACTTTTTGCCACAGGCTCGTGAACTGTTCTCTCCCCCTCCAGCCTCCCTTAGCCTGACTTCTGATGCCATCCCACTCTCCAGCACGTGCCGCCTTTTTCCGTGGGGACATTAACCCATTCTTTACACCGCAATGTCACCCCTCACCTTTGTCCCCACGCTTTACTGATTTGTAACTGACGGATAACTCCATGCAAGACAAGGTAATGTCACGGCGTTACTATCATCTCAATGCCGGTAACTTCCAAGGCCCTACACTCCCTGCTGAGCTTTGGATGGGCCACTTTCACCCGACCCTCTAGGTGGGTACGGCAAGTAGATCTCGAGAAAAACCAACCCAAACGGGATGCATCTAAGCCACCCGAAGCTGATTTTTACCTCAGAATAACGCTGAGAACAGCGTTATGGAGCTAGAATCCACACAGCTGAGGTGCACACCCTAACAGCCTCCAGCGTGTTTGCAGAGTTGTACGACCGTCACCCCAGAAAGAAACCGCACGCTCCGCAGCAGTCACTCCCCGTTCCCTCCCATCCTTCCCCCGAGCCCGCTGCAAGCCCCACCCTAGCCGTGTCTCTCTCTCTCTCTCGATGAGAGACAGTCCGGCGTAAATGGAATCACGCACTCCGTGGCCTTCTGTGACGGGCTTCGTTCACTCAGTGTTTCTAAGGTTCCTCCGTGTTGCAGCACGAGCCGGTGCGTCATCCCACAACGTGGACATGTTACACGCTGATTTTGTCCTCGTCGACCGATACGCATTGGGCTGCTTCCACTTCCTGCCCTTAATGAACCATGCTGCCATGAACACTCAAGCCTCAGTGTCTCGTGGACATACTCCCACCGTTCTTGGTTCCATATCCAGGAAGGAATCCCACGGCCACAAACGAGGTGACCACGTTGAACCTTCTGGGGAACACCAGACTAGTCTGTTTTCCAAAGCGGCTGCCCTTCGCGTCCTCGCCAGGAGTACACGAGCCTTGAAATTCTTGCTGTCCTCACTGACACCGGTTTCTCATCTGCCTTTCTGATTCCAGCCATGCCAGCAGCTGTAAAGTACCTCTGTGTGGTTTTGATCCTGTGGTTATTCTGTATGTGGCCCATCGATTCCGAACCCTGACCTCACAATCACCACCCACCCACAACTCCATTTTCCCTCCTTGAACCACTGTCACTTCAAGCTTTCACGGTCTCTCGCGGGAAGCACTGATAAAATCATCGGCACGTCTCCCGAAGATCAGTCTGGCTCCCCTCCCAACCCTTCCTCCACGGACGCTATCCTTCCCTCTGGATCACGCAGTCACGATGAACCCACCGAACAGCTTTAAAGCACCATAATTTAAGGAGAACCCAAAGTCTAAAGAAAAAAGGTTAAGCCAGGCATGCACACACTCAAAATCCTGTTAAGAATCACATTCTCTAGGAGCACCTGGGTGGCTCAGCCGCTTGAGCGTCCGACTTCGGCTCAGGTCACAATCTCACGGTTGGTGGGTTCAGGCCCCGCATCGGGCTCTGTGCCGACAGCTCGGAGCCTGGAGCCTACTTCGGATTCTGTGTCTCCCTCTCTCTCTGACCCTCCCCTGTTCGCACTCTGTCTCTGTCTCTTGAAAATAAATAAAGGTTAAAAAAAAAAAAATTTTTTTTTTTTAAATCACATTCTCTAGTGCAGGCTTCTGGGGGGGTGCTCAGCTGCTTAAGTGTCCGATTCTTGGTTTTGGCTCAGGTCATGTTCTCGTGGTTCATGAGTTGAAGCCCCGTATCAGCCTCTGCGCTGAAAGCAGATTCTCAATCTCTCTCTCTCTCTCTCTCTCTCTCTCTCTCTCTCTCTCTCCCCCCCCACCCACAGCTCGCTCTCGCTCTCTCTCAAAAAAAAAAAAAAAAAACATTAAAAAAAAAACAAAAAATAAAAAAAAGAAGAAAAAAAAAGCACCACATCTCTAGGAAGCACCCCCTGACCCCTCTACCTGCAACAACACAGTCCTCTCCGTGTCTCCCTTCCCGCAGGAGGGCCCACAGCTCACTCACCACCTCCAGCTCCAGTGCCAGCCTGGCCCCACCTGGTTCCACAGGGCTCCTCGCACCTCCCCAGCCGCTCTCTGGCACCTTCCTGGCACCTTCTGTCCCCACACCTGCCACCCCCGCCCACATCCTCAGGTGCCCTCCTTCACAAAGTCCCTCCTCTTTCCAGTCATGTTTCAATCGTCTCGCTAACTCCTCCCCCTTGTGGCCCCAAAATGAAGTCTCTTCCATCTGAAACACGCGCATCAACGGCTGCCCTCTTAGACCACTGGGCCGTGGCTCTCCTCCGGCTCACAAGTCCCGCGTGTTGCCTGCGTGTGCTCTCACGGGGAAACCGAGGCTCAGAGAGGTTTCACCTGCGACCACACAGCTAATCCGTGGTGGAGCCGACACTCGGAGTTTGGCTGCGTCTTCTCTGGAAACAGGTGCAAGGAGACTGCCCGTTACACCAAATGATCCAAGTGAAGGAAAGAGACACTGGCAGACCCAGATGCCAGGAAGGAAGCAGCGAGGCATCAACACAACAGGGGGCGGACGCTGTCGCTTCGCGCATCCACACGCCAGGCAGGGCCCCCTCTGGCACATTCCACCACCGACGTGGTGACGCGTCCCCGTGCTCACCACCTCCTCAGACGTGATGAAATACAGCGGCCCCTTCGGTTCCTGCAAGTTTTCCGTCGGCCACCCCGAGTCTCTCCCAAGAGAGACTCCCGCCCGTTTCTCAAGCCACTGGGTGTGAGTCCACACTCCAGACCCCTGGAGTAACGCCTTCGTTTATTCATTCATTTCTGCTCACGGACTTTTGCTTAGACTAACCTAGGAGTTTCTCTTCCTGGTGACACAAAGTCCCAGGAGAAGCAGATGGGCACAGTCGTCAGAAACGAAAACCCGACAACTTAGAGAAGACACACCCGCCAGCTCCGTCACCAAAACGAGGCCAAGTTCAGGGGAGGCGGTGTACAAACATACTTTACCCAGCCCAACCTCTGGCTTGCAAAGTGGATTTTAAATGGTGACACATCTTTGGATAAAAAAGCCAATGTCACCACATTTCAGGCACTGCAGGACTGGATGTTTTCCGAAGGTGAAAACACAGAGCACCACATCTCCTCTGACCCCACCAGTCACCTTACGAGGCAGGTAGGACACTCCCTTTTCAACAGCTAAAGAATAAAGGTAAAAGTTAAGAGCTGCCCACGGTCTAAGAGTGAAGAAGAGAAACAGAAATTTAAAATCCAGGTTTAATTACCCCTCTCTGGAACAGACAATGAGTCACCCGATACCATGGAAGTGATCTGCTCAACTGTGAGGGCTCTACTCATGCTGAATATCACCCAGTAACCATGCCTCTGGTTCGGAACATCGGGAGTCTCGAAAAGAGCTGAAAACTAAGCAAATAAATAGATGTCCATTCCCCCTGCTGTCCTAAAGGAACTAATACAAGGCCATGTGCATAATAAACACAGTGAGCTTAGTACAAAAATCCCAAAGTGATTTCCTTGAGAACTGTCTCTCTCTTATTGACCTTGAAAACCTCAGAGATGGGGCGCCTGGGTGGCTCAGTCGGTTGGGCGGCCGACTTCGGCTCAGGTCATGATCTCGCGGTCCGGGAGTTCGAGCCCCGCGTCGGGCTCTGTGCTGACAGCTCAGAGCCTGGAGCCTGTTTCGGATTCTGTGTCTCCCTCTCTCTGACCCTCCCCCGTTCATGCTTTCTCTCTGTCTCAAAAATAAATAAAAAAACGTTAAAAAAAAAAAATTAAAAAAAAAAAAAAAAGAAAACCTCAGAGGCAGGCCGTCATATTTGCAAATGTAAAAGTAAAGCTAGATGAACTTACCATTTGGGTGCCAGATTTCTGTAATGAATTTCATTTTAGGAGGCCGGAGGGGGTAATCTTTTGGGAAAGTGAGATGAGCCTTAAAAACACCACCTTCACTGGAAGAAAAACAAAAACAAGTTCTTGCCTATAAGTTCCCGCTTATCGGTAGACAATTATTACAACAAACATAAAACAAGGGTGCCAGTGCTAACACTGTAAATGAAGTGAGTTCGTAATCTGGGTCTCAAGCAGATAATTTACTTACTCCAATACTCAGTTCAATAGACCATCACGCCCACCCTCCTACTGAACTCTCAGAAGGCAAGGAAAATGAAAGAAACAGTTGGTGCACAGCGGGCATCCCGATCAGGTCCCGTTATTGCGGTGCTAACAACCCTACCACCACCGCCCGCTGTACGTAAGTCCACGTCCAGAAGGGTTCGCTCTGCCTGGGGGGTCTCCAACGATCACTCTCGTCCGCGGCAGCCAGCCCTCCCGCCGTTCTTCAAGCCCCACCAGCCCCCTCCCCTCTCAGAGCTCACACACATTAACTGGGTTGTTCCCTGTGTGGAAAGACGCGCGGACCTTCCACTCCTTTATTCATCTTGTCGTTTCACGAGTATTTCTTCGCCCTTCACACATCAGACACGAACAGCTGGAACAGGGTATAAAGTCTCCCAAGGAGTCTGTATTCTGTGGCTTTTCCAAAACAGCGCTGCGCAGGACAGCTTTCTGCACACTGGCTTGGTCCACGGTCACACTGTCCACAACACCTGACATACGGCCAGTTCAACTGAGGAACTGAATTTTTAATTTTATTCAATTTTATTCAATTTGAGCAGCACACGTGGCCAGTGACTGCGGTATTAGTACGGTCCTAGGTCAACGCCATTTACTTAAAAACTGTTTCTGAAGAACCATCAAAACAGGACAACGAGCCGTATGTTCACAACAAAAAGCAAGGAGATCAAGTCAGCCTGATGGGGCACATGACCAAGTTCCTCCCCGTGTCATCGGTAGCGGCCATTCCCTCTGTTTGAAACACCCTTCTCCCCCTGTCATCACTTAGAGCTCGGCTTCAACGTTCCCTCCTGACAAAGGCCTTACTTTGACTATCAGACCTCAACCACCCGTGTCCCTCTGGCACACTGGCCTCGTCGCACTTATTCCAACGGCTACTGGCACATCTGACTCTTTTACTGCTCAGTGCACACTCCAGCAGAGCAGGGTCACGTGACTATGCCTGTTTGAGATCAGTGAGAAATGGAATTGTCAGCTCCGTACACGGGACTGAACAAATACACACTGATCACCTATTTGCGTGAGGCACCGTTCTACGTAAAATAAAAAAAAGGGAGGAAGACGTTAGAGATCGTTGTTTTCTTCCCAGCACTTACCATTTGGTGGCAGAAAAAATATCAAGCAAAATATCTGTCCTAACTACTGGAATACGAGCAATCGAAAACTAAATTTTTAAAAAAACCAAGTATCTACTATAAGCCCATTTGTCTTAGGAAGAAAAACATGGGGACATGTTTATATACCAATAGAAACCCGTATGAGAACACGACACCAATACATAGCAGTGGTCAACTCTGGAACACGGGATCTTTTACTCACTGCTTTGTACACGTCAATACAGACAATTTTTAACCACAAGCAAGTATTAATCTGTATTGCCTTTTCTGATCATAAAAGATTTGGGGAAGGGCTTAACAACAGAGAGGCAGATCATTAACACCAAATACTAAAGACCCAGGGAAGGCCAATGGGCTCCCAGCAGAGAGAGCAACCGTGGTAACACAACTGTAGTAAAAGCCAACAGGAGGCCGCGAAGGGTGAACGAGAGAGGGGTGGTGAGGTACAAGCGTGACGAGCAGGACGACTCGAAAAGCCCAACAGTTAAAGAACGGGGTAACTAGATGGGGAAAGAGCACAAATGAAAGGCTTTAAAAGGAGGGGACGAAACTAATTTGTCTGCAAGGAGACGGGAAGGTGCTGGCAGAAAGACCAGGGACACTAGAGAAACAGTAACTGAGTGACCGGAAGAAAGAAGAAAATAAGGGAAAGGGGGCTTAATCAAGAAAAAGAACATCGCTTCCCGGGCACCGGAACAAAACCGGACTGAACGTAGTACAGACACCCAGGGTACGAAGGAAGAAAAAGGACAACTTTTATGTCTGCTGCATGACCTCCATCTGCGAAACTCCCAGAAGGACTCCTCGAAGGGGGAAAACTGCACACCTGGGCAAACAGCAGGCTGGCACGGCTGCTGGGATGGACCCACCACCCTGACGGGCGCGGCAGCCACCTCCTCGCCCGTGCTACCCCACCTGCCAGCGCCAGCGCCAGCGCCAGCGCCAGCACCGGCCGTGGCACCTGGCAGCTGGACGCACTCCTTTTCAAACTGGGGCTGCAAAATCAACCGAGTGAGTTGCTAACCAGTTCTCTTTTATGACAAATCAAAATCGAACAGAAAACACAGGCGCTTATCACAAACAGTCTGTTTCACTTAAGTCACCTGCATGCATGTTGCTACTCACTAAAACGTATGCACAGGAGTAGACATCAGGTCACGATGTAGAATATTTCCGGTTATGGGCTGTGGCGGGGGGAGGGGGGGCAGTTTGAAAGCTGCAAACACAGAAAACAGCCAAGAATCTACGTAAAAGGACATCAGAAGAGCTGCCCCAAAGCCCTGCACTTTGTTCCACCGACAAGGCTGCTCCTCAATGTTAAGGTAGCTTCCCTGTGTCCCTCAAGTCTGACTGACTGGATCCACTTTATGTCAGCTCACTGGAATCCCGATCATGAGAAACGGTCTTAAAATGTTTAATGAGAAACTGTCTTAAAAGTTTCATCCTTAAAATGTCAGGTTTTATTGACAGAATTATCCCCAAAGGTTCAAAGCACACAATCCTCACTGCCTACAGATCACTCCCCATTCTGAACCAATAACCCCATGTTACGCCTTAACACGGTTTAGGTTTCCTCCTAGAGCTGGACTCCTTAACATCTTTCACCTATAGAATCTTACCCGTTTTTTTAAAACCCGAGTTGTGTGGCCCCAGCTTGTGGGTGCAAACCTCCCATTTGAAAAGGCTGAGAACCTTTTCTCAGCCTAGATGAAGCTTCTTCCGTTAGCCCCACTTACTGTTTTGTACTACGTTATAAAAAATCTTAACCAGGACCGGATCCCATCATTCTATTTTGTCAGATCCTTTCATTCTTTCATTCTGCCATATTGACTTTATATAAAGGATACACTTAAGCTGTTGTCTTAAATTTTGCTCAACACTGTTCTTATAACAACACTCCTGGGGAAAAGAGGTTAGAGTGGGAGAGAGCCAAAGCATAGGAGACTGTTAAAAACTGAGAACAAACTGAGGGTTGATGGGGGGTGGGAGGGAGGGGAGGGTGGGTGATGGGTATTGAGGAGGGCACCTTTTGGGATGAGCGCTGGGTGTTGTATGGAAACCAATTTGACAATAAATTTCATATACTGAATAAAATAAATAAATAAGTAAATAAATAAATACATAAATACACACACTCCTGGGGCGTCTGGGTGGCTCAGTCGGTTAGGAGTCCGACTTCGGCTCAGGTCATGATCCCACGGTTCGCAGGTTCGAGCCCTGCATCAGGCTCTGGGCTGACAGCTCAGAGCCTGGAGCCTGCTTCGGATTCTTTGTCTCCGTCTCTCTCTGTTCCTCCCCTGCTCGCTTGCTCACTCTCTCTCTCTCTCTCTCTCTCTCTCTCAAAAATCAATAAAGATTAAAAAAACAACACTCCTGTTGTTACCGGTTTCTGGTTCATTTTATCTGCCACATTCAACAATTTATCACACTCATAAGGTATTTGACTGCTTCCAATTGTTTTGCTATTACAAGCAATAGAACACTGAACGTTCCAAACGCTTCCTGGGCATCGGGTTTTTACCCTAAAAATGAAACTGCTAAGACAAAGTCTGCATCATTGTTCAAAGTTGCATGGCCAATGAAAGAGGCCGAGGTGGGGAGGTAAACAAAGGCCCCCGAGCCCCTGTTCTTGAGCACTGAACAGTCAGTGATGTGGCCTTGCACTGATCATGCAGCACAAGGTTCCCTCATCACAGGACACATGGCTCATGCTTCACTGTAAAATGGTACTAACCAGAGTCCGTCAGGTCCTACATCCACGATGACAAAACATATGTGATCTTAATAGCCTACAAAGTTTCCACCCCATTGCCGGTGGGGAGGAATAAAATAAAGCATGCTCTTTGAACAGACTAGCCGTGGCTGATGAAAGACAAAGAGAGTAAGAGGTAAGAGGTTACGCTCGCCACTCACTAACACAAACGTATACAATTTAAAGCTATATGGTGACACCCGAGTCTCCCAACGTCCTTCACAAACCTGCCACCACCCTTCCCTGAAATCTCTCATTCCGTGGACATGGCTGGCCGTCCACACGCCTTATAACCGGCAGGCTGAAAAGAGCAGGTACAGCACGCCAGCTCGGTGTCCTTCACAGAAAGACACCGAGACAATCTGTCCTTAACACCACTAGGAAGACTCATTAATGGACAGAGCAGTAACAGAGCGATAAATATAGCGGCTAAATTAATCCTCGTGGCAACTCTCAGTCTTACAGAAGCTTGAGTGCCCTTGTTACTCTGAAGGGTGCAGCGCCCTCTAGTGACTAAGGGAAGGCTAATGATGCCGCACAAAATAAC